GGCCTTTCTTAGCCGACCAACCAACCCGACCACCCCCCCCCCCCCACCCCCACCACACACACACACATATATATATATACACACGGGCACACGCGCACACACACACACATACCATTCTCCACGTCATAGTCGTCATGGCCCTCCCGGTGGGTATTGCCTGTGAACGTGGGCGCGTCCATGGCAGCGACAAGTGCGCAAGCGCCTGCGCCTGCGCCTGCCACGTCTTGGCTCCGCCTCGAGTTCCGAACCGGACGGTAGACTCTGGCAGCGAGCTGCGTGTTACTTGACGTCTGTGATGGCGGCATCCAGTGCAGAGAGAACGGCGGCATTGGTGGGTTTGGCAGAGAGGACGGTCCGCCGGATCGAGGATAGGGCCTCCGGGAGAGTCGAGAGGTATCGCGGCGCGTAGGAGGCGTGCTTGAGCGCAAAGAGCTTGAGCTTCCGGAGGCGCGACTTGAGAGCGTCCACCGGCTTGGTCGGGTCGACGATGAGCGCGTGTGCGGTGCGGACGACCCGGCGGAGCAGCCCGAGCCAGGTCGACGACGACGTGAGCGGCGCCAGGGTGTCGGAGGTGGCCGCTGCCACTCTCGGGAGCCACGCCGGCCACACGGCGGCCTCGGCAGGCTCCGAGGCCTGCGGATGGAGGGCTTGCGCAAGCGGGAGGGTGGGCGGAATGCGAAAGTCACTCGTCAGGATCGAGAACTTGACCACAGGGAGCACGCCATTCCCCTTGACGCACCACGCGAGCGCAAACCGGGTCGTGTTCGTCCCGACCGGCACAAACGAGAGCAGAGCCACCAGGCTGTGTTTGTGCAGCGCCGAGTACAGCATGTTGAGCAGAATTGACGACCGCATGGTCTCCGCCGTCGCGTGCTGCCGGACCTCGCCTCCCATCGGGGCCCGAAGAGTGTGGACCGAGAGCACCGGCGCGCCAAAGACGTTGGCTGACGGCGCGTAACCCACCATCTTGAGCTCGCTCGGCAGCCCGCCGCCGAGCGCCGCCAGCGCCCGCCGCGACGACAGTACCGGATCCGGCAGCATCCGCACCGACATCCGCAGCCGCGGGTCCTTGCCCAGCGGGAGGATTCCGCTCCACGCCCGCATCTGTCGGTCGAGCAGTCGCTCGATTGTCACTTCAACCCGCGCCGGCTGCAGCGGCGGTGGAATGAACGTGAGAGAGCCTGGCAGCGCGCCGTGGAGCGCGCGCACAATCCGCGCCCCGTTGCTCTGCGCCTCGACCCCGACCCCGACCACGTGGACGTCAAGAAGCGACGAATTGAATGCCTCAAACGCCGTCACATGCATCAGCAGCGTGGCCACGATGCGCTGCATCTGCTCGGGTGCCACTTCGGCCATAGCCGGAAGCGGCAGCAGGAAGATGACGTGAGTCACCAGCTGCTTCATCGCCGGTTTCGTCTCGAGCACCGCCGCCGACATGCTCAGCGACGCCACGATGCCGTTGACTGTGTTCTTGTGCATCCTCTCGCCGTCATCGCCCATCGCCTCCGCACCTTCGCCTCCCGGCCGTGTGCCGCCTCCCGTCTCTGAAGCTGTAGACGGAGGAGGCGGCTCCGCCGCCTCGACCTTGACGACGGCCTCGCCTGCCGCACATCCTGCCGCCGGCTCTCCCGACGAATGAGCGCGAGCAGCCGCACCTTGAACAAAGCTCTGTTCCAGCCGCGGCTCACCCTCTGCGGAGACGCGGAGTGTGGCCACAAACTCCAGTGGGTGCTTGGCGTGCAGAGCGGCGACAGTGTGCTTGGCAGCCGCCGCCGCCGCGCCCGTCGGCTCCCACCCACACACCACCACGAACGGCATGTGCAGGAAGCTGAGGAATAGGCGGGGTTGGGTGGAAGGGGGATTGGGTGGAAGGGAATGGAAGGAGAGAGAGGTGGAGTGGAGGGAGGGGGGAGGGGAGGAGGGAGGAGAAAAAAAAACCGGGGCCCCCCCCCCCCATTCTGGTAATGGTGTTGGGGGAAAACCCTCCCCCCCCCCTTTGCCGAAGCTTATGCTAGAACGTAAACAATATTATTTGTCCTACAGATCTTGTTAAAAAGATTTTTTTTTTTTTAGAAGGCGG